ATGCCAATGTGTCAGTCATGCAGGCTGCTCTGAACAGGCCGAACGAACCGTCACGGACTCCGAATCCTCTCCGTCTAGGCACATTTCTTACGAATTGGGAGAAATACCAGTGGATGCAGCAGGGGAAATGCTACCGCTGCGGAATCCAAAATGATCATATCAGTGCACGTTGTCCGAATCCGTTGGTGACGCCGGATATGTTTCACCGGCCGGAGAACCGTTAGGGTGTGTTCACATGTAGTCCAATTGAGAGTCTGATTGGGAGTCCGATTCGGGGCGGCTTTCTGAATTGTGTTCACATACGATTGCGGCCACCGCGCGAGGTGCCACCGCGCCCAGCTGAAGCTCCGCGGCTACGCCCCATCACCCAAGGCAAGCCAGCATTATCTAGGAACGGAACAGTATAAGTATCGTTTCTATGGCGACTAGGGGGGCGGCTTTTCAAAGCCGAAAAGGGGCGAGGCCCCGGTGCAGCCACTTGCAGCCCGTATGTACGGCATAAGACTGCAAGCACATGAACGCCGTTATGTTTAGGGCACACACTTGTTGTTATGAACAACAGCTTTGAGATAGTATGCCGGCGGGGACACGGGCGGCAAGGCGGCCGGCGGATGGGGGCTGCCGACATGGCCCGCTGCGGGGGCTGGCACCTCCGCCTGCGCAACGGCCCGACCTGGACCATGGAAAGCCATCTTTGTCGCGCTCCGATGCAGCTGCAATTTCTCCTTTGGCAGGTTGACACAGTACAGATATAGCTTCTACATGCAATCTTTTGCAGAGCGACATATGTAGCTGTTTGTCAAACTCGCACCCCTGGAAAGCTATCTTCGCGCTCCGATTTATCTGCTATTTCTCCTTTGGCATTTCGTTATAGAATGCTTATAGCTTCCATATTAAACCTTTTGCGGAGCGTGATATGTAAATTTATGTTTAACCCGCAGCCATGGAAAGCCATCTTTGTCGCGCTCCGATTTATCTGGAATGTCTCCTTTGGCCGGTGAATGTAGAATGCATATAGCTTCTACATGCAATCTTTTGCGGAGCGAGATATGTAACTGTTTGTCAAACTCGCACCCCTGGAAAGCTATCTTCGCGCTCCGATTTATCTGCAATTTCTCCTTTGGCATTTCGTTATAGAATGCTTATAGCTTCCATATTAAACCTTTTGCGGAGCGTGATATGTAAATTTATGTTTACCTCGCAGCCATGGAAAGCTATCTTCGCGCTCCGATTTATCTGGAATGTCTCCTTTGACATTTCAATATAGAATGGATATAGCATTCAAATGCTATTTTTTGCGGGGCGAGATATGTATGCCACTGACTGACTGACTGACTGACTGACTGACTGACTGACAGGGGTGAACCCCGGGGGCTCGGCCCCCCGAAGGCGCTTCGCGCCCGGGGCCTCGCCCAAAAATTATCACCAGGCTTGTACATACATAGCTGCAGGAGTTCGTGAAAAATGCTCGGTGCGCTTTGCGTGAATTAACAATTGGAAAATGTTCCTATAGTATTGTAATGGTAATTATGAGAAACGGTTTGTTAAACAACTTTGTTTTGAGAAAGAAAACTGTGAATCACGTCGAATCATACCCGAAGAGGCCCCCCCGGACCCCAATTCCGATTCGGGTCCAATCAGGTCCAATTCAGAGTCCAATTCGCATGAATCAACCCTGATTCGCCCACATGTGAACACGTCCTTAGGAATTTGCCCAGTCGTGTTCATGTGGCATGTGTACTGGGAACACGAATTTGTAAATTCCTAACAGTTCTCTGGCTGGCAAAACATATCCGGCGTCACCAACGGATTCGGACAACGTGCACTGATATGATCATTCTGGACGCCGCAGCGGTAGCATTTCCCCTGCTGCATCCACTGGTATTTCTCCCAATTCGTAAGAAATGTGCCTAGACGGAGAGGATTCGGAGTCCGTGACGGTTCGTTCGGCCTGTTCAGAGCAGCCTGCATGACTGACACATTGGCATCGGATTCCGGGGAACGTAGGCGGTGGTCCGGTAGGCTCAACGGGACACGCTGGCGGGCGAACAGAATTCATGACGTTGCTCGAAGTTCCAGCCATTCCAAAATGATCATATCAGTGCACGTTGTCCGAATCCGTTGGTGACGCCGGATATGTTTCACCGGCCGGAGAACCGTTAGGAATTTGCCCAGTCGTGTTCGTGTGGCATGCGTAATGGGAACACGAATTTGTATGATTACCGAATTGTCGATTACGAGTTGTTGCGACAACTATAGAGTCGAATTGGGCGAACGTTCTCTTTGGACGCTGCTGTGAACGACGACGGGAGTAATGCCGTTTGTAAGACGTTTGCTTCACGGACTCGATCTTTTCTCAATTCCGATTGCTCGGGCCACACTATCTGGATGAATCTTCCAACGAAACTATTATCCGTTTTCCTCCGTCATTACCAACGTTGCAAGAGTCACGATCCAAGCATATCGTCTTGTATTCTGATTCCAACTGAACAGAAGAGAATACGTCCCTATCTGAAAGACATGACGCGACTTATGATCTTACCGTCTGGAACTCAGTTGTACCGTTCGTATCGGGTTGGTTGTCCAGATCCTCCGCCTGAAACGAGCAGTTATGAAATTTGGTGGGATCCACCTAAAGGAAAACCGATTGAGCCGAAATGTTCTATAACCGAAACCGATAACCAGTTACATTTATTTGCTGGACGCCTTTGTGCTAATGCTGTACGAGTTCTTCCGGACACTGGCGCTACGCACTGCTTCGTTTCTCAGCTTATGGCTACCAAACTCGGCTTGCGGATTTTGCCTACACCGCTTGCTCCGGTGCGCCTAGCAGACCAGTCGACCGTACCTATTCTCGGTGAGTGTCAAGCTCGTTTGCGCCTTGGTAGTTTTGGTACCGATATCCGTTTGCTCGTTTTATCGGCTTTAACCGTATCTGCGGATGTGATTCTTGGCACGAACTTCCTAACCCGTTATGACGCGCAATTAAGGCCTGCGCGTAGCGAACTGAGTTTATTACGGCCAACCGGTGAGGGATGTACGTTGCGAGCGTTGCACGCCCCGTTACCTTCCGTTTCCCACTCACCGAAACCCGAATTTCTGTTGTTGGAAAGAGCGCCAGCTCGCACGTCTGTGGTATCCGCGGAGCGCGCGTTTAGAGACCTTTTCGAGTCGCCCGGCTCACGTGGGCTGCTGGTTGTCGTTAAACCGTTAAACGAATCTACTGCACATCCTCCGACCAGCCCCACTTCTCAGGTCAATTCTCTCGAACTTCCACCTGAAATCGAAATGAACCGAACCTTAGCAACAATCTTGCATGTTTATGCGGATGTGTTCGCTCCGATCTCCGGGCTACCTCCTGATCGTGGGGTACATGGGGTCCGAAACTGGCCACTACCTAAGGACCTAAGTGAGTTGCGCGCCTTTGTTGGCCTTGCGAACTATTTCCGACGATTTATCCGAAATTTTGCGTCTTTGGCAGCACCACTTACGGACCTCTTTTGCAAACCGCGCCTCCCGGATGAGTGGCCACCTCAGGCGCTGGCCGCGTTTCAATCCATTAAAGAATGCCTGTCAACCGATGTCTTACTGAATTACCCGGATTTCTCGACACCGTTTGAGCTTGTGTCCGACGCATCGCTCAACGGAACCGGTGCCGTACTGTTGCAAGACGGTCGTCCGATTGCTTTCACGAGTAAGAAGTTTTCCGCTGCCGAACGCAACTACTCTACCGGTGAACAGGAACTGTTGGGCGTTGTGAATGCTTTACGCGAGTGGCGATGTTACTTGCAAAGCAACATCCCCTTTACCCTCGTTACCGATCATCATCCGCTTACGTATCTGAAAACGCAAGCTGATCTGAGCCGACGGCAGGCACGCTGGGTTGAATTCCTCGAGCAATTTACGTTTGAATGGGTCTACCGACCTGGAAAACTCAACGTTGTTGCCGATGCTCTTTCTCGACATCCGAATCTGGCCACGATTCTCTGTGCGGTTCCTCCCAGAGACATACTTCACAGGCCTGTAGGATTGCACTACACTACAACAGATCCGTTCCTTTGTTCAGAGGGGGACGAGTGTAGTACCTGTCGTACAGTACGGAACACACTGAAAAAGTGAAGTCCCCTCTAGGACCTTAACGACCCCGGCGGGCGCGTATTGATGAGCAAGGGGAGAAGGGTTGGGAGTCGCTATCGGTCACCAGAATTACTTTATTTTTCTGGTTGTTCATCGTCATAATGTTGGTGGCAGCACGAGGTAATCGCCCTGACGCTAGCCTAGCTCTGACAGGTCACCTTCCACGAGCGCGATCTCCTTGCGGTGGCCCCGCCGGTGTACCACCTTATAAGCCACGGGCCGCAACACACAGGGGTATATGTGTGTGTGGGGGGGGGGAGGGAAAGACGAATGACGAACAAGAGAAACTGGTGCCAAGTGAGACTGATGCACCAGAAGTAAGGAAGCAAAAACTAGCCAGTCACGGTTCGTATGTGGGTGTGTGTGGGGGGGGGGAAACGCCTACAGCGACCTCACCAGCACAACCACCACTACCTCTCCACTCTCAAAGCCCCGAATAACATTAATCTGTTGGAACCCCGATAACACACATACATACACACACACACGCACGTAACACGGCGCCACGCCATTCCTACTGATTGGACGCCGAGGGCACTGTGCAGCCCTACTCAACTCCCAACGTCGGCAGGATCACCAACCAGAAGCACAACCACCAACCACCAACGGCCACAGCCAGATCAACCAACTCCTAACCCAACTGCCACTAACAGCAAAAAGCGATCTAAACCACCTGCCCACCTACCTAGACGTACCTGCCTACGACAAGGAAAGGAAACTGCAGAAGGAGAAGGGCCCCCAACTTTCCAGACGCCATTCTTTTCCAGCTCTCTCTCTAGGGGGGTGGACAAATAAAAAGCCCTAACGATAGCCCACGATAGACAGACAGACAGACAGATGGACAAACAGTCCTCGAGAGCGGTTTACTTCTTGATTTGGAAGTATTTCTTGGGAATGCCGTACTGCTGCATGATGAAATCCGCCACGGGCTCCAGGAAGGAGCCCTGAAGTACCACCTGAAGGCGGGGTTGGCGGGGTGAGTGGTGGGTGTTTTTTGGGGGCGCAAAGAGGAGAGTCGTACGCAAGAAACATGTGTACACATGTGGATGTGTGCGTCGGTGTCGGTGTTGTGTGGAAGGGATATATGGGAGGAGGGTTGGATGTGTCGTGTGGGGGCTTTGGGTGAATGGGGAGTTCCGGGTTTGTGTCTGTATGTGTGTCTGTATGTATGTGAGGTAATGATTTGAGGGAAAGAGAGGGGCCGGCCCTCCAGGTGACCCAGGGGACCCACCAAACCCTCAAACCCCCAATGGTCGCTGTCATCTTCCACCACCACCCGGTGCCCTCTTCCCCCCCAGACGCCTTGCTCCCCAACAGCAACCTCCCCAGGTGCCGCCAAGGCTCCCTCCAAAGCCGCTTCGCAGCCTGTCCTCTCCCCCCCCCGCCCTCATTGACCCCCCCGCCTCCCCCGCCCGGTCTACTCCCTCCCCCTGGTCCTCCCCCGCCCAACTCCTTGACACACACCCGCGCTGACGGGGCCGGGGGAAGGGGGAGGCGGGAGGGGGAAAGGGGGAGGGGCAGGGAAGATAGATGGCTGCGGCTAATTACATCCCCCCACCCGCAGAAACTCGTTTTGCAATCTAGCTAGTTGGCCACTTCGGCCCGATGACTACTTCCCAAGGCACTATTGGTCAGTTATTTACAACTATATTTCTGATGCAATATATGTGTCTAATCTAACCCTGGAGTATCCGTCTATTTCCCTTCAGTCGTCAGTGGCTCCTCGTACCCCCCTCCCCTCCTCTCACCTCGTGCCCCGCCCCCTTCCCGGGCAGCTCCACCACGCTGGTCGAACATGCGAACTTGCGCTGACACTCCGCAGCCACCTTGGAGGGACAGATACACAGACAGACACACAGACAGACACACAGACACCGACATATAGACACCGACAGCACCGGACCGGGAGAGAGGAATCAGAACGGGGAAGCGAGGGAGACGGGCGCATCTGGGCGGGAAAAACACCGTGCCGCCCACCGCATGTGTATGTCCGTGAAACGTGTGCACGGGGTTACTGCGTGGTGCGAGAGAGCGCATATGTGTCTGCTTTTCCATAACGGTGATTATAACGACGGATATACGGACAGACGGATGGACGGACAGACGGATGGACGGACAGACAGACAGGCGAACACGAAGAGACGGCCCTCCCCGCCTCACCTGTTCAATATCCACAAGGAAAGGCTCCAGTCCCATTACCTTGGTGACCCGCTTGTTGCCCTGACGCTTCTCCGTACTGATCTGTACGGCAGGCAGCTGGCCCTTGCGTACGACCTACGGGGTGCCAAAGGACCCAGGCGGACACCGCACAACATGAAGACCTCCCAACCCCCGCGACCACAGAACCTCGAATCTCATCTCTCGCAGCGCAATCAGAAGGCTCCAGATCTCCGCGTCCGATCGCACGAGATGCACCCTATCCTGCCGTACGTTCCATCAGTACGGTGATCGGTGGGTGTGTGGTTCATCCTACCACTATCACTATCGCCCATCCTGCCAGACAACAATCGAAACGTGCGTCCCCCTCCCCCTTCCCCCCTCCCCCTCCCCCTCGCCCCGCCCCCTCCCCCTCGCCCCTTCCCCCCTCCCCCTCCCCCCTCCCCCCCCCCACCTGTTGCTGCCCCCTGGTAATCCGGCACTGCAGGTGCATCCGCCGCATGAGGGACTCTCGGAGGTCGGACTTGGCCAGGTGGGTGGGGTACAGCTCGCCCTTCTTGATAAGGCCCTGCGGGTGGGGCGGGCGGAGGGGGGTACGACGAAGCACAGACGATTGACGAGAAGGAAAGACGCTAAGACGGGGGGGGAAGGTAAACATGTGCGAGAAAGTGGGACGTGAACTGCTGCCGGTGTCGGAGGGGGGAGGGGATCGCCGCGGGGTACTGTAGTCGCACGGTAGAAAGGGAAACGTGGGAGGGAGAGCTCTCGGGGAATACGAGGGAGGGGCGTGAAAGGGGGCAGGAGGCGTACGGGCAGGAGGACATGATGACGTCAACGGAGTAAGGGGGGAGCAAGTTGAGAGAGTCGTTGCTCGCCGCTTTCGGAGCCCTTTTTATTAGGTGACGCCATCACCAATCCAGTGATGCGAGGTGTGCGGGAGGAGACAAGCGACCAGAAGCGCCGTCCAGCTCCTTTCTCCCATTATTCATCTCTTTCCCCAACCTTGCAATTCCTCCTCTCCGGTTTGCCACTTTCTTAATGTCTCTTTGAATTGTTCTCCATTTCCTCCTCAACACCCCTCCAACTCGCACCTCCGCCGCCTCCATCTCCTCCTCACATTCTTCCACGCACCTGCCAAAGGGTGCCCCTTGTCCAGTTCTTACCTGACTGACTGACTGACTGACTGACTGTCTGACTGACGCACTTGCTCAGCTATACATCCCCAGCCTCTCACCACGTACCCTCGTCCCTTCCCCCCTCCGTCTCCTCGTCCCCTGCTCATGCGCACCTTGAACAACGCATCACACAATGTGGCATTGAGTACAATGGTCCGGTTGTCCGGTGCGCCCTGCTCCAGACCCGCAACCTTAACGAACGCGAACGCCGCCTCGGCCGCCTCGGCCGCAGTGTACAGCGCCTCCGGGCTGTTGGCGATGATGGTGGTGGAAGGCGGTAATCAGGCACGGAGGTGTGCGGAGGCGTTACAGAGTTAGGGGATAAACGCGGAGAGGTGTGGCGGGGGGTGGGAGCAGGAGGTGAGTAAAGCAGGGTCCGGCGAGGAGGAAAGGACGAGCGCAGCAGCAAGAGCAGCAGCAGCAGCAGCAGCAGCAGCAGGGTAATAAGCGGGCAACAGAGCACCAAACCGAGGCCAAAACCAAGCGCCAATAGCGCCAGGAGGGAAACCATCAACCGTTAACCATCAACCGAACCGCTTCGGAAGAACTTACTTGAGTCCCGCTTCCTCAAACACCGGCCTGAGCTCTTTACCCGGCTTGTACACCTCCTCAATCAACAACTCCAAGGAGGAGGCGGAGGACGAGGGGCCAGCTGCAGCGCCGGCGGCAGAGGCCGCCGTCCCGAGCCCAGCTTCTGCCGTACTGTTGGACGCCCCCGCGGCGGCAGTGGCGCTGGCCTTGTACGGCCTTTTCCGTACATCGGTTCGTCGTGGTTGGAGGCGCAACCGCAGGAGAGAGTGGGGGGCGACCGGGGGCCCCAGCGGGGGGGGGTCGTATCGTGTCAGTGCGAACTGCGAAAACAGGTCAGCTGGCGAAGTCGAAAGTATTATTTGGAAATGAGTGAGCACGGATGCATGGATGGATAAATGGATGGACGCACATACACAAAAACAGCATACGCACCTGTAATCGGTGTAGATCGGTGAGTTGCGGTTTACGCTCGTCACAATCATGTCGCCCGAGTGTTTGTCCTCCTTGACTGTCAACAAGCCCTGCTTGCCGTACGACTGCCGTACCAGACACAACAGGATTACGCAGCAGCAGCAGTAGCATTAACAAAGCAGCAGCAGTAGCAGGAGGGAGAACAGAAGCAGAGAGAGGGGTTGCAGGGTGGCGGGGGTCACATATCGCTCCAAAACAGAGGTGTGTGTCCTCACGACGGCCATGCCAGTGGCCGCAGTGGTGCTAGCACGCACAAGGGGATTGCCACGGAGTCCTGACACCCAGGGAGATGATATCACCGTATGGAGATGATGTCACCGTATGGAGATGATATCACTGTATTTGATACGAGGATGCAACTGGACCTTGTAAGGGACAGCGCTTCCTACTGGCGGAGGGGCCGGGCGGGACGGACTCCACCCAGGAACAAGCGCGACAGAGCTAGGTGGCACCCGGAGTGATGTGTCCAACACTCGCGCACAACAGCAGCAACCGGCAACCCAGAAGCTCATTTGTTTTCATGTCTTAAAAGAAACCGCAAATAAAGCATGTCCAATACCTACCGCCTGCATGATAATCCGTAACATCTGCACCATATGCCGTACAATTTGTGCCGTACCTCCGTACCTGCAGGAACTTGGACATCTTTTTATGTTTCGACTTTTTCACGTCCAGCGTGCTGCCCGCGGGTCGAACTGGCAACATGTGCTGATTCCACAAGATAGAGGAGTTGAGGGGCAGGTCTACGATACAACGCACCGGCGTTGCGGGAGGGGAAAGGGTTTTGAGAGGGAGGTGAGAGGGAGGCGAGAGGGAAGCCATATGCAAGAATTTTACACTAAACCTAGTTTTTCGTGAGATGCGAAAGAGAC